GTTCTAATAACACAGGTCCTATTTCTCCTGACGCAACGCCTTCAGATGTTCCTGGTTCTGGAGGTGACCAAGACACATCTTCTGTAGAAAATAAAAACTTAGACACACCATCAGATGGCCCACTAAATTACGCGATGGAAAGGCAAGATAGTGCTGAAGTAGAACTCCCCAGGGAGGGCGGTACGCCGCCGAAGACAGTACATATAAATTACAAAGAAAACTTTGTACTTGAAGACAAAGGACCTTTTTCCGGCAGTGAAGGCAACACAGCGGACAAAACCTCTCCTGACAGCACACCCGTAGACTCTAGTAACAAAGATCTAGCGTCTTCTGATGTGGAGAACAAAAATCTTGATGATCCTCGGGGAGGGCCAAAAAATTATGCAATGAACAGGCAAGATAGTGCAGAAGTAGAACTACCAGGTAAAGATGGTGCGCCACCAAAAACGGTACACATAAACTACCAAGAAAACTTTGCCCTTAAAGATACAGGTGCACCTTCCGGTGGTGGCAATAATCCACCTTCAGACATAACATCTGACAATGCACATACGGACTCTAATAACAAAGACCCAGCTTCTGATATGGACAACAGAGGTCTTGACAACCCATCTCAAGGCCCTCTGAACTACGCTATGGAAAGACAAGACAGTGCTGAAGTAGAACTTCCTGGGAAAGATGGAGCGCCGCCAAAGACGGTACATATAAAGTACAAGGAAAACTTTGCACTTGATGGCAAAGGATCCCCTTCAGGTGGTGGAAGCAATCCATCTTCAGACGAAACATCTCCTAATAGCATACCTGCAGACTCTAGTGACAAAGATCTAGCGTCTTCTGATGTGGAGAACAAAAATCTTGATGATCCTCGAGGAGGGCCAAAAAATTATGCAATGAACAGGCAAGATAGTGCAGAAGTGGAACTACCAGGAAAAGATGGTGCGCCACCAAAAACGGTACACATAAACTACCAAGAAAACTTTACCCTTAAAGATACAGGTGCATCTTCCGGTGGTGGAAATGCTCCACCATCAGACAAAACATCTTCTGACACCGCACATACGGACTCTAATGACAAAAACCCAGCTTCTTCTGACATGGAGAACAGAGCTCTTGACAACCCTTCTCAAGGTCCGCTGAACTACGCTATGGAAAGACAAGACAGTGCTGAAGTAGAACTCCCTGGGGAAGGTGGAGCGTCGCCAAAGACAGTACATATAAAGTACAAGGAAAACTTTGCACTTGATGACAAAGGATCTCCTTCAGGTGGTGGAAGCAATCCATCTTCAGACATAACGTCTCCTAATAGCGTACCTGCAGACTCTAGTAACAAAAACCCAACCTCTTCTGACGTAGAGAACAGACATTTTGGTGATCCTCGGGAAGGGCCACAAAGTTACGCAATGAACAGGCAAGATAGTGCAGAAGTGGAACTACCTGGTGAAGGTGGTGCACCACCAAAAACAGTACATATAAACTATCAAGAAAACTTTGCCCTAAAAAATACGGGAGCACCTTCCGGTGGTGGAAATAATCCACCTTCAGACAAAATATCTCCTGACAACACACAATCAGACACTAATAACAAAGAATCTGCCTCTTCTGACGTGGAAAACAAAAATCTTGATGGTCCTTCTAAAGGCCCACTTAATTATGCAATGAAAAGACAAGATAGCGCAGAAGTGGAACTCCCTAGGGAGGGTGGTGCGCCGCCAAAGATTGTACATATAAATCATAAGGAAAACTTTGTACTTGAAGATAAAGGACCTTCTTCGGGTGGTGAAGGCAATACACCAGACAAAACCTCTCCTGACAGCACACTCGCAGACTCTAGTAACAAAGATCTAGCGTCTTCTGATGGGGAGAACAAAAATCTTAATGATCCTCGGGGAGGGCCAAAAAATTACGCAATGAACAGGCAAGATAGTGCAGAAGTGGAACTACCTGGTAAGGGTGGTGCGCCACCAAAAACGGTACATATAAACTACAAAGAAAATTTTGTACTTGACGACAAAGGGCCTTCTTCGGGTGGCGAAGGCAATACAGCAGACAAAACCTCTCCTGACAGCACACATGTAGACTCTAGTAAGAAAGATCCAGCATCTTCTGATGTGGGGAACAAAAACCTTGAGGATCCTCGGGTAGGGCCAAAAAATTACGCAATGAACAGGCAAGATAGTGCAGAAGTGGAACTTCCTGGAGAAGGTGGTGAACCACCAAAAGTCGTACATATTAACTATAATGAAAATTTTAAGCTTGACGACAAAAAAGGAGCACCTTTAAGTGGAGGAGAGAACGCGCTTCCTTCTGCAGCGGAAAATTCATTTATTGAAAGTAGACAAGAAAACGCTTCTGACAGTCATGGTACTGGTAAAATAATAAAATCTCCACACAAAGACGAAATTGAACCCACAGACAAAGTTATTTTACGAAAAAGTGCTAACCTTACAAAATATACTGTAAGTCACACTAATCTTAAAGCTACTAATTTACTACCCTAGTATTGAAACACTAATCTATAATACTTACTAACAAATAAAGTGGTATGTTCAAAAAACTAACTATGAAAAGTATAGTAAAAAAATTAGTTAAAATAACCGAGTCTAAGTAGAAGAATCAAGTAATGTTCGTAGTCATCATTGTATTAAATATTAATTTATGTTTTAACAATTTGGTTTCTTTCTATGATCCCTACTATCCAAACAACTCTGTTTTCCATGTGTACCTTGTTCAGTTAAAATAAAATGCTAACTTTCATAACATACTGTGGGCTCTCTGTTAATTACCTCGATCACAACCTTTTAAGCCGGGTACTCACAAGCGAGCTGTAACCGTAACCGTTGCAGGTTATGTTACCAAAAATCATAGTGTGTAATGTATACGTTTTTCGCGAGCTTGACGCGAACGTGTACGGTTCACTGTGAGCCGATCATAACCAATTCTGGCGAGTGAGTAGCGCGAGACTGTTTCACGCGTACACACTAGAACCTACTTACTGCACCTGTCATGTTACAGTGACAGCTCACTAATGAGTACCCGGCTTTATACACTTAATTCATTTAGATTTGACGGTAGTAAAAAAGAATTAATGCAACCAATGTAACTATCAGTCAAGAAAGTATACGCCGTCGGCGGCGCGCGCTGCGTGGCCCTGGGTCTCCGAGAAATGTAAAAAACATTAAAGATACAATCTTTCTTTAACTTCTGTTCATTGACTTATTCTGTAGATATAATACGACACTTGAATACGTTTACAAACACGTACGAATAATAAGATTCTTCAGTTCGGAAATAACGCGAATATAAAAAAAACAAAAGCAGTCAAGTTTACTACAATTTAAAAATTTATAGACATAAGAGATACCTATTGCCATGGGAGGGCCTAAACTAATTTGAAGGCCAGTGCTGAAACTTACACCGCCTACGTGCGAGCAAATTGAAAAACACGATCTCAATATTAAATATAAATTTTCTTTGTTAAATTATGGCGCGGATATGATTTACTATGGCTACACTAACTGTCAGTGTTTTAAACTTTTCAGACGTGTAGATGTCAAGCAAAATCTACAATAGTATTTGAATTTAGTTGCTTTGCTTGTGATATTTCATATGGCTTTGCTTTGAATTTCAAAATTGTATTGTTTTGTGAATCGCTTAATATATAGCACATACAAATGTTGCTAGCTTGAAAATGTAAATAATGCTAGCATGGCAAAGTATTAGGTTAGGGCCTGCACAAATGTTACAGTTACAAAATGGGTTGTGTATTCTGTTCATTAGGTGCATTTATCTCCGCTCTCTTAAATTCCCTGGAAAGGTATAATGGCTTAGGTCACAACAACATTAAATTTTCACTTTAGTGTGAGGCCTGACGAGCGTAATTTTGTGAGTTGTGAGTTGCGCAGTTTGCGCTGCATTCGGTTTCATATAAAAGCACGGTTTGTTTCACACGACGATGCAAAATGAGTTATCTGCCGACTCACGGGCGTAATGACGACTGACTTTCGACGGTCGCATCGTGTGTCGGGCTGGCGCGGGTGGAGGTAGAGGTGAGGGAAGGGGTCACTTTGATATAGGATAGGATGCGCGTTTCTTGCGAAAATGTTCGATACGGAAAAATCACCAAGGTTGAACAACGTCCATGTTTATGGAACTTATCACAAAAATCATATAACAAACTGATCTGGATGTTCTATTGATATACTTGTATATAATATATGAAACTGCCCACACTTTAATCGTTTCATATTGAGTGGATGTACCCAGCTTCTTTTTCATTTTCGAACATCATCTTCTAATACTTCATAAATGCATAGTATTTTTAATGGATCCATTACACTATTACGACACAAACGTCCCGTATAAACGCTTAAAAGCAACTGAATGAAATACTTTCGTCTGGCGCTCCAACTGAATTTCGATAGAGCGCAAAATAAACACAACTCACAAAATTACCCTCGTCTGGCCTCACACTTAAGCGACTGTTTGGTTACCACTGAGTCATCTTATTTTATTTACAGAATGACTTTATGTACAATATGTGCAATGTTAATATGTTGTCTTATGTTCACAATTCTATCTGTACTAGTAATGGGTATTGGCATTGGATTCCACTACTGCTTTGTGCAACAGAGCGTTAGCAAGTTGCGTATGTTTCACATATTGTTAACGTCGATATATTTAGTAGTTTTCTGTCGTAAAACCAGGACAAAAAAATTTTTTAACTGTTTATAGCTAGTAAAGATGGCGCTGCCCGTTCCGGACCAGAAAGACCAGAAAGTGAAGTACCCGTGATGCGCTCCGTCAACTCTGCACACAAGAATGAGTTCCTTCACCGCATGACACGTGAAGCTACCGAACCACCTCTTACTAACGCAAGAATAAACATAAGTAATATTTTCGAAGACTTAAAATTGAGTGTCGGTAAACAAAATTTATCAATTGCACAAAATTTCAACACGCATAACCTAAACCTTGGGTTTAATTTTACAAAGTTTCCGTTAGGATTGTAAAATACAATAGTGCCTGTAACGTTGTGTTCGTCTGTGATAAATCAAATAAACTCTTATTATAACGATGCTTTTTATTCGTTAAAAAAATTTCATTATAGTTTAAGTACCTAAAAAATGTAGAACGTAACTAGCTAATATTTTAATGTATACATTGTAAATCCTGCGCTGTAAGTCCATGAATTTTAAACAGACATAGCTGGAAATTTTGGAAGACAATAAAAAACAGCAGACTATAACAGATGGATGTTGCACAAATAAGTATCAACTCTCTTTCAAATGCTAGAAACAGATTGCGTCTCAGTAGTTACGTCGCGTATTTCTAAATTGGTTCATACTCTGAGGAGTTTCGTAAGGGCCTGAAGAAGGGTGCATTAGTAGCATTGGTGTTTTGTCGAGACCGGCGGAACCGCCCGATGAGTCTGCGCGCCAGCTCTTGCTCATGCGGAGATAAATCAGGTGCTCTTGGCATCCTACAAAATAAAATAATTGTGTTTTCAATAAGTGGGTAAATGTAGTACTAAATCGTAAAGTTTGTGCATCATTGTTGTCCGTCAAAATAGTGTTGACTTTGAATTTTTTCGAGAGAAAACAGTGCGCAGCAATAGGACGCAAGTCATAATTGAATCACCACCGCACGGCATAACGGCTACACTCAGGCTGGTAGATGCTGAGGTCGAGTCCCCACCAGGAGGAACAGTGGGTAGAGACTAGTGAAATAGGCCAACTTCTTAATGCTCTGGCCACAAAGAGATATACACTGAATTCGAAATTTCTTTTACGTTGCTTCTGTAACCATCTCGGCGGTTTAGGACCACAATGAGGAATGATAAAGTCTTCAAATAACCACTTCTATAAATGACCACTTCTTGAAATGACCATTTTATTTTTTAATTATAAATTGGTTTTTTACTATCTTTAGCCCCTTTCGCCGGTTTATATCCAGATTATCTAAAAAATTAAAATTAAATGTTTGAAATATTTTTTTTAATTTGCCCATTTTTGTCAAATGGTGGCCAAGTCCAGTTGTGATGAATAGAATAGAATGGAATAGACATTTATTGCAACGCCACAACACGTAGATACAAAAAAAAACAAAAATTGATAACACAGACAAAAAACAGAAAATAAAAAGAATTATGGATGGACGGAGGGACGTTACCCTCCAGGGCGATAAAAAGCAATATCTAACATATGTATAATAATTTCCAAATCCATAGGAGTACATCTCGGTTATTATCTCGATTTACCAATGAGGTCAACGAGTACTTGAATGACAGGCAATAGAGAATAGATGAGAGAAGAATAGAGCTTGTTGTCTTTATTGATTTTAGCAATGCATTCGCCACTTTAAATTACAGCACACTTTACTCTAAACTAGACCAAAATGGAATACAGGGTCCTCTACTTAAATGGTTTCAGAACTATCACAGTAACCGGCGTACATGCCTAAGTGTAGCAGGGGCAGTAAGTGAGAGTAGTGTAACCGAGGAGTTCAATACTAGGTGTCGTGGTGAAATGAATGTTCACTGATACCACGGCGCCGACTCAACCGGCGAAAGGGAAACCCGGGGGGGTTTTACTGGGGTAGGCCCTCCAGTCTGGAGGGAGAGTCCCCACATAAAATCTTTATGGATACCCCTGAGCCCAGGGAGACTCAGGGGTATCCATAAAGATTTCCCCCCGTCAAAAAAAAAAGGTTCAATACTAGGTCCAAATGAGTATTTGACCTACGTCTACGTTAATGACATGATATGAGAATTTTCACCGGCGAGTCGGTATATCAGTTTGCGGATGACATTTGCGTCATTTCGTCACACATTGACATTAACGAGGCACAAAAAATGCTCCAGTACAATTATGATCAATTATGCAAGTGTGCTCACGACGTACGGTTCATTATTAATTCGGACAAAACTAAAATTCTGCTAATACATTCTCGGTACCTAAAATCATCGTCAACACCGACTATCGTGGCACACACGCATCAATGTTTACTTAACTGTAACAATTGCTCCTGTGGCACCTTACAGCTAGTCGATCAACATACTTATCGAGGACTGATTATAGATAAAGAATTTAACTGGAGACCACACATAGATCACGTATGTAACAAACTAAGAGTCTTTGCGGCTAAACTGATTGAAATACAAACTTCCGTATAAGTCACTCAGAATGATTTATATGTCTCTTGCCGACTCCGTAATAAACTATGTTTTATGTAGCTATGGACTCACTTATAAGACTTACTTGAACAATATCTATAAACTGCAGCTATGTTTACTAAAGTTAATCGTTCCTTGCAACGTAAAATCTAAATTTAAGGATAACTATGACAGATTATTTGGTTACTGTACAATTTTAAATGTAGTTGACAAAGCTAAAATGCTATTCGTATGTCTGGAATACCATCTTTTGAAACATAAACTGCGAGAGCGAATGCGCTCTGAACATTTGCGCTCGCTTTCATACATACCAACGTATACTATGCCGGGATACAATAACGTATATGGAATTCTGAACGATCTACCAGTCACAATGCTAAGTAACATTGAGGGTAATGTCAAGAAATGCAAAACTGCTTTAAAGAGACACTATCTTGGTTTGTAGCATAATATCTATAGTAATTATGTGAATGTAGCCATATACTCTACAATTAATTAATATTATAGTGAATTAAATTAATTTAAGTGTCAAGCTTGTTAGCTCATCCCCACTAAGTTAAACCACTAAGTTTATTACCTAGCTACATAGAAGCGTCGTTTTTTTTAAATTTGCTTGAAATTTAATAAATAAAAAAATGGTCAATTCTAGAAGTTGTCAATTCAAGAAGTGGTCAATTCAAGAAATGATCAACTCAAGAAATTGTCAATTTGAGAAGTGGTCCTTTTTAATTGTGGTCATTTCTCATTGTGGCCCTAAACCGCCGAAAGGGTCTGTGTGGCTTGAGCTTATATTAGAATCATTTAAATTGTCTGGATAGTGCTGTAAGAGTTAATTTCGAAATAGAAACTCTACACCACGATAAAGTTCTCTAATTTTTTTCATACTAGCCTAATTGTATGTTCTATCAGACCGGACAGAGATCATGGAAATTGTCTTTACTAACCTTTCCGTTTCTAACATAATAATGGCTGTTTCTGTAGTTTCCATGAATAGATGTTCACCTTCGTTAGGTTTATTTGGCTGGTACACCTCTACAAAGGAAAATGTATACTTAATTACCCATTTATCAATTACAAATGGATTGCCTATGAATTGCATAAAGCACAAAGCTGTTGTTGTAAATTGTATGCCACAAAATAATGGTATGCCACGTTTGAGATGCTTTCATCGCCACTTGGGCTTTCAGTCTCGCTGCATTTCAGCGTTCCAGGAAAAAATATCAAGACTCGGTACGGTCTCGAAAATCCCAGGAAAAATGAGACTTTTGAGACTGTCTTAAAAACACACAGACAGACAAACCCCATTCTTATAGACTAGACATTTAGGCAGTCAAAACATGAAGTTCTTTATCAACACAAATTATAAATAGAAAAATTAATTATGAAAGTTATTTTTAAATTTTTATAGTAGGTACATAAGAAACAAAGGGAGATTATTACAGTTTTAGATAGAGGACCTAATTTTGTTACTACCGTTCTTCAATCCACGAATTACAAAGCTGCACTCTACAGTGTTGCCATGTCCATGTACCCTGAATAAAAAATAACTGATGGTTTAGTAGATTTTTTATACTTTTAAATTAAATTACTTAAGTTTTGAAAGTCCCGATGCTCCCCAAAACGTCAGTCTTGAGTCTCCAAATGCCAAAAAAATGAAACAAACCTAGCATTGGTACGGCTGCATGTGTCATTTGTGACCTGTTGACGGCAACCAGTCGCACAACTGGTGCTAGATTTGGTTGTTCTGGATCTTTCATGGACCGCAGCAAACTATGCGTCTCCGTTGTCGTTCTTGATGACACTAAAATACATAGGTGAAAGATTTTTAACTCGAACAATGCGTTCATTTCGCTATAATACCGTGGTAAAGTAGTTGTTGTGACCTAAAGAGAGTGAAATTGTAACAAATTGATCTAATAATTTGATCCAGGCTGTTAACTTACTTGCAAAGGCCGCCAATTCTTTTTGTGCGTAGTGATAACCCACAGAAATGCCGTAGACCATCATAATTATGATGCCGAACATCAGTAGCATCAGCACAAAAGCACAGCAAGCCCATGTGAGAACTCTGCATACACAAAGGTAGTTAGACCCTGTAGGGTTAACCCATATCGTGTTGATAAATGCAAGAAACTACCTAAAATTTCGTCTCCCTTATTACTGCAGGTACTATCAAAACACGTAAATAATCACATAATCACCAGGATTAATTACCGCTTACCTTTCGAGACAAAATGTGATTGTACAAAATATTGACTGAATAACACCCATTATACGTTACAATTACTGTCTGAAAAAAAAAACTTATTAACTAAAAAAGGATTTTAAGAAAAGTGTTTTAAAAGTCACTGTATTGTTGAGTCTTTCGCTGAGTATACATATACAGTTGCCTTAACCATAGATTTATACCTATATACTAAATCTATGTGCCTTAACCAAATTAAATAAGCCGTATTCACGATATCTATTTCAACAAAAAATTACAATAAAATGACGAAAATAAATGTACGTAGGTAGTTTGTCATATTAGTAAGTAAAAGAATCTTTCAAATCATATCTCAAAGATCTTGCTTCACTAAAAATATAAATATTATCAAATTAATATGTATCTGACTATGTAATATTATGTTGAATCCTAAGCCCAGTTACACGCGGCAGTCGCGAGGCGACCGCCCAGTTACCACGTCTTCATGTACATTAATGGCGAATCTGAATTCTATTAACTATGCAACAACATTTACATCCCTCTGAATAATACAACCGCGCGGTCGCCGCGCGGGCCGCCGCTTAGACCAAATTCAAGCCAGACTCGCCCTCGTGCCCAGGACGCACATTTAAGTTAAAACGTAAGATCTAAACAAATAGAGCGTATTTTGCCATGACAGTTAAGACACACGCAGTCGCTGCGCGGCGCCAGCACGAACACCTCTCTTCAACCGCGCGGCGGCCGCGCGAGGTGAGTGCGATGAAATTCGTGTCGAATAAATGCGCCCTAAGGGTGTTCATAATGGTTCATAATGTACGGTTAAATAAAGGTTCATAATGAACGAAGTCTACCCATGAATACGAACAATTTTATTCTATGGGGACCCCTCTTAATTCCATACTAAAACTACTTTCAAATATATAATCTCGCAGACACTGTAGATTATTATTTCACATAGAAAGTCAAACTAAAGTTCAACGTATCGCACCCTTGGTGCAATAAGGCCACATCGGCAAAATGACAACTGTTTAGGAGAGAGCTTTAAAGATTATAGAAACGAAACTAGTCGACAAGTATTGGTCGAAATAGGAGAGTCATAAATTTTCAAATATACATAATTAGTAGCAATAGAGCTTCTTGTGAAATAGTTCGTCCAGGGAAGTACTTACCTTCTGCCGCCAAGCAGTAATGCGAACATTACTGCTTTCCAGTTTGGAAGGGTAAGGGTGCTGGTAAAATTACATGCGCAAGGGACTGGTCAACTTATGTCTCAGGGTGACTCTGAGTGGCACTGCAACTGTTATGGATAGGCGTGTCGCTTACCACCAGGCGACTTGTTCATCAAATCAAATAGTACATATTATTATTTTTATGACTTTCATGTGATAAAAACACATTTGTCGTTTGATCACATGTGGCTTTATTATATCAATTTGATATACATAATATATCTACTTAGTAGAGTCAAGTTAGCAAAGTTTTGTTCGGAGAATTTATATTACAAATATGAATGAATGAGGTATAATTTACTTATCAAGTTTTTAGGTTTTCGTGATTGCTACACATTGGAAATGAAACTATTTATTCGAATCTAAGTCACACAATCATGACCGTGGGACCTGTATAGAGCCCGAAGCGTTGGTTTGTTATAAAACCAAATATTATTTAGACCCAAAAAAATACGAGGCATGTTTTTAAAGTAAGTACCCCTTTACAATTCGGCCGCTGAAGTGTACATTCTGCGAATGCACAATTGCACACTGTTGGCAAGTCACAGACGCAATAACGGTAACATTCAACCGTATTTATGTTTGTTTATGCGTATTATATATTTATTATATGTTAAAATGCCTCCGCTGATCGAGAATCCTGCCGTCTGTGAAATATGAGCTATGATTCGTTTTCTTAGTGCTAAAGTGGAAGCGGTTAAAATCCATATCAGTGTATGGACTTGGCATGGAAAATACATTATGAGCGATGAAATGGTACAGAAATGGATAGCCCATTTCTTCTTGTCGGCCAATCGATCTTAAGGTCGATTAAGTTTTCATGGCATCAAATGATGGGAACAACTTGATCACCCTCCATACAATACAGTCCCGATGTAGCACCCAGTGACTACCGCGTATTCCTGCATTTAAAGAATCGGATGATTCGGTAGTTAAAGTCACGATAACGATGATGGTGTCAAAACGGCTGTTTTGCAATGGTTTTAGGTCAGACGATAGATTTTACTTTCTTTGACAACCGGATTCTAAGAGTTATGCGATACGATAACTAACTTAACCTTGGTGGAAATTATGCACAAAAATAGATTTAAGTACAAGATTTCATCTAATTATTATTAGTTTTCATCTAATTAAAAACGGCACTTATTTTAAATAACGTAGTTTTATTTCCAACTATATAAATTCTAACTACAAACTATCATTCTCTCTCAAATCTGATGTTTTCCTGTGCAATGACATTATAAAATAAATAATCCTTAGTCAACATCAAAAATATTACTTATAGATATATTGAAGAATTTGTTTAAAATAAGTCTTAACCTGGGGTAAATTTCTGCTATTATTGGTCCGGACCATCTTTTCAGACGTTGCCGTCAGCTTCTCAAAATTTGACTTTGGCTTATGTCGTTAGTTTAATTTAATAACTACGTATTACTTACAAAATCTTTGCATATAAGTAATACTTGAACTGCCTCCATGGCCGAACGGTTAACATTCTGGACTGCCACGCAGAGGTCCCGGGTTCGATTACCGGGTCGGGAGAAATATTTGTATGGCCTATATTTATTTCTCTCGTCAGTTTGGGGGTAATTTGTGGTTGTCTATGTGCATGTCCATGGCACCCGCGATACAGGATATCCCTAGTGCGGGACTATGAGTGTGTGAAAGAAAAGAAAAAATACTTATAAAATCTTTGCACTTATGAATATTTATCATATGCGTAACAAAAGAGCGCGTAAAAAGCAAAACTTTTTTCAGTTTTTGTCTGAGTTTGAATCGGCATCCCTATAAAAAGCTTGTTTTTGCTATAATGCGGTAAAGATGTCCTACAAAACAAAGTGCACTGTTTATTTTATACACCAGACTGAGTCACTTTGTTCTATCAAGCATTAACATTTTACTTAGTAAGGTAATTAACCTACGTAAACAGACAGGCACGGCATAAGTAGACAGAAGTAAGTAAATCGGTACGAAATAAGCAAATTTGAATAAGGCATCACTTAAAAACCGTTGGACAGATTTTGATAAGTTTTAGCTTTTACATAATATTTACTAAACTTGGGCGAAGGTTACTTTACTACATTCTGAAAGCGATTATGATTTGCGATACAAATATCAATGAATTCGTTACGAATCTACTTACGGTAGGTACGTAGGTATTAAAATGCAGCTTGTGTAACAACCGCATCGAAAACAACCTTTATCAGGTTTTTGGGTCACCTAGGTGAAATTTTATAAAGCTTTGAGGTCAAGACCTCAAGTAAACTAATAGCACTAAAACGGCTAATTTGTTAGACTCGTTTTGAAGAACATGAAAATAAATAATGCATAATTATTCAATTTCGCTACTCTTCTTGCTTCTTGCTACAGTACACCATAATTATTGTATATTATCTCATATTAAACCAAGAGACTCTTCACTTTAAATACACACGATACGAAGGAATAAACATACATATTTTTTACGTTTTATGTTAAAATTGTTTCTTTCAGCAGAGATTCAAGAACTAAGAGCCTCGTTGTCGCTACAACTTTTAAGAAAATAATATTTATTCTGTGAAAGATATCGACAATGTGACTGAAGAATAAACAAATTATTTTGCTAGCCACGCGAAGAAGCGATTTGTTTATAGAAACAAGCATATGTATATTTTGTAAGAGTGGCAAAGGAAAATATATCATGACAAAAGTAACAGGAGAAAATAATTACCGCACAAATTTATAGTATTAACTATATCGAAACACAGTTATAGTACATTAGTACATATTTTGCTATCTGTGATATGAATGTAGTGTTAAAAGTAATAACGCAAAATGTACATGTAAAATGTCCTGAATATGACAATATAGTGCAAAGAGTATAAAAAGACGTTTTAAAAAGAATGTACAGACCAGTGATGATAATACCTTTGTGATCTTTATTTATTTCATTATCGTGAAAGTGGTATACTCTTTGCTTTTCTCTTTGATATCAATAGACAAGAAAAAAGGGTAGAAATCAATAAGATCATTGGTAGAAATCGTAGATGATGGGAAAAAAATAAAAGAATAAAGGTAGAAATAGGTACTTTGTTATATTGCGTCATTAGCGCCACACACCGGCTGGTAAGTGAATCTTTTATTTAGGCGCCCAACGATATAGCGTACGCGTATTTCCTATTGACATAGATTTATCTAAATCTATGCCTATTGATGATAACTGACTTAAGATTCTAGTATAGATTGTCACATGTATCGTATGTAATAGTAAAGTCTGAGTTTCTCGAAACTTATAAACGAAATTGAATATGAATTTTATCATAAGCTTGTTGGTGAAGGAAAACATGCGTAGTGGCCGTGATAAAGGAAAACATTGTTATGAAACCTGCATGTCGAAGAAAATTCACAACCCTCGAAAACTTGTGAAGTTCCCAACCCGCATTGGGCCAGCGTAGAAGACTACGTCCTAAATCCTCGCGTGAGAGGAGACTCGTGCCCAGCAGTGGGACGTACAAATGGGTTGATGGTATGAATCGTATAGCTTTTCATAAAATTTATTGAAGCATTGGTCATGCTTATAATAGATTTTATGGTTAGTAAATTCAGTAAATACACGGGTTGTCTCACTGGGTTCTAATGTCGAATGTCGCCTTTTTCTGCCGGCCCGGTACAACGTCAAGCGATTTATGAAGTCCCTTTACTTAAGTGAAATGAAACTAATTTAAAGCGATTTGAACACTATTTATACATTTATAAAATATTCAAAAGGGCTCGGCAAACCCATGACATCGGTGTTTTTACGAATTTTGGCCTGAATTATCGTTTCGTCGTCTTCGTAGTTTATTGTAGTCTGCCGTTTCATTGTTTATTTCAAAACTATACGCTTTTACACGATAGTTCACATTTCATTGAATAGATTAGGTTATTACAATTCAATAAAAAAATAAAACAGAAAAAGTGACAAATTTTCATCATTTCTTTTCATCACTTTCAAGGTTTTGTTTTGCACGTTGGTTTCCCGTAATGACCAAATAAATTCACAAGGTTACTAAATTAAATAATTTATTTAACAATACGTATAATAAAAATACAAAATATTTTACAACAGTCTCAGACTTATAAGGCACTAAAAGCACAACCTAAAGTTAAAAAGAAAGATATAGAAATCATACAAAATAATTAATGGTTACTTAAACGTTATGCACCATATTGTTTGTGAATCGACCTGTCAAATCCTACATTACTAATCGAAAATAAGATTTTATTGCTACGCTCTCAAAAATGAAACTGAGATTTTTATAACGATCTTTGACTTTAAAGAAACAATAAGGGGTCTTTAATCGACACGAATTTCATCACGCTCACGCCGCCGCGCTATCGTCGCGCGGACGCCGTTCGGCCGCTGCGTAGACCAAAGACAAGGCAGACTCGCCCGCGCGCCCGGAAAACTCATTTAAGTTAAAACGTAAATGCTAGATAAATAAAGCGTAAAATACGCTTTATTGCCATGGCAGCTGGACGCACGCGGTCGCTGCGCGACGCGTGAGCTGGATGAAGTTCGTGTCGAATAAACGTGCCCTAAATTCGCATACAGATGGCCAGCAGTCGAATAATAAAAATCATAAGCATTATTATAAAACCACATTTAACGGTTCTTAGATGTAAACATGAAAATTACTAATTGTTTCTAGTATTACGTTTTCTACCAAATTGCAATACTGACTTTATAAAATAAATGCATTTTTAAGCGAGCGTAAGTTTTTTTATTACTTGAATATAGACTAAAATAGCAATTGGTTGGTTAACTTGGATGGAGATCGAAAAATGAAATAATATAAATTATACTTAAAAAGCAGTAATAGACGTTTGTAATGTCCTTAAAGTCGCCTTTAAAAAAATAATGGTAAATAAAGTACATTGCAGGTAATATGTTGAATCCGACATGTTAAGAGTTTATTCTATTAAGCACACCACAATAAAGAACCGATTGTCTCAACAGTTTTTTATATCATAGTAGCGTGCAACCAGACAAAATATCTAAGGTAGGGTAACCATACTAGATATTTTAATATTGGTTTACAAAAATCCAGACTAAATCAACGTACATACATTTCTATGAAAGCATATATCTGATGAGAGTGACATACAACCGACATCAAAAAAAGAGTATATAGAATTCACATTTTTAATGATCACGTTCCTTGAGTGAGTTACAAAACTGTATCGACAAAAAAATGTATTATACATCTTTTTACATGCTTTAATATGTAATATTTAATATCGTTATAAAATGGAACACATTCGAAAACTATGCAAGACGTTGACAAGGAAAAGATCAGAGGCATAAAATATATTTCAATTTGTGCGCTGGTCCGTGTAGGGGCATCCCAGTATACAGCCGGCCGTAGGCGGATCTATTTCGTCTATTGCGAATTAAAATGCTATGCAAATAATTAATTAATATTAACAAACAATAAGTGCAGTATACAATATCATTATGCTTCGAGTTCTTAGATTCTTAGCGATATTTGTTTTTACAAACAAAGCAACATTTCTGGTTTATGACAGGTCCCATGGTTGGGACTAATTCACTTATTTGAAAAACAAACATACACGATTTGGATGAAAAAAATAGTTTTACAATATAAAATATGTATGTAATCAAATCGAAAAAAATCCGAAAATCGTCACTTAAATAAAGTTCAGTTAGAGTCGACACTCACTGTATGTACCTCAATAAACATAGAAGATAAACCAGGCCAATAAACGGAAAAAAAATGTAATTTCAATTATTGGCGGTGTGCTTGTTTTGATTATATTTTTTTTATTTATTTATTACCAATCAATTATATAGGTACAGGACAAACAATTATTAAAACATTTAAAAACCACTAACTTTTACTTTCTTGTGTTACGTTTAACAAGCTGCCAATTTGACTGATAACAATTATACAAAATAGTAAATGTAAAAACAATTGTGTGTTCCACAATATACCTAAGGGCTCATTCGTGTGCGGGCACGCGGGTTTTGGCGTCTTCCCTTTCACAGTGTCGAAGCGACTAAAACCGTTCGATCCACACGTCGGAGTTGCTAACAGATACTAGAGGCTAGACCAAGTACTGTGAATTGTACGAGCGGACTGAGCCAATAGATCCACCTATGCGGCGTACGAACCGCCACGCCCGTGCCCGTCTCGACACAAGCGCCAGCGCACGCGGCCGTAAAACACGCGGCCGGTAAACGCAACGAGCATCTACGTACATTTGATTTACACGCACCCGCGCCCGCCGCCACACTGAATAAGGCCTAATAGTAATAAGTGTGCCTGTCGCTTCATGTTTAATATCAAAGTAATAATCCATCTCACTAAGTGACCAATCAAAGACAGTTCAACAACATGTACTCAACACCTATGTACAGAAATATTCAATTTATCCATTCCTTGAAAATCTAGTAAACTCATGGCGATAAATCGTTGAAACGTCGTTCCTCACCGTCCCGCCTATCTGACGTCACTGTTTCCCGTGTAACAAATCCCACAAAGGCAGTTCGGCTAGCGCAGTATGCAGTTCGTGCTGCAGCTGCGAGGCGAGAGCGGGCGCCGCATGCGTGACGGACGACCCGCGTGACCATGCCTCTACTAATGGTGTCAACCCACTCAGTGGTCCTAGTCCTGTCACGTGGAGGTCCATGCCGCTGTCAAATTAAATACGGGTCATTTTTCTTCGCAAAGCAAAAATTTATAAGGACTGACAAGTTGGATTTTTAAAAGTGTCCATTGCTTGTATAGTAATGACACGAATAGTGATAATAAAATGCACCATTTACGTATCATAAGTAACTTCAACATATAATTTTAAATATGTTGTCGGATCAAATATATAATATAAATAACAATGCACACACTCAACATAGTCCCGCACTAGGGAAACTCTGCGTCGCGGGTGCCGTGGACACACAAATAGACAATCGCACTCACGAGAGAATAAATGTAGACCATACAAATATTTCTCCCGGCCCGGGAATCGAACCTGGGACCTCTGCGTGGCAGTTCGGCATGGTAGCCGTTCGGCCACGGAGGCAGCAAATACTGTACTGTGAGGATTAGACCGCAGCTCTTCCATAACTACCTATTAAATTGCAGTATTACAGCAAAAATCAACCCGTCGGGCAAGCGCGACTATAATATCAAATACGCCTTTTTAAGAAAGGTCTGAAGCTGCTACTACTACATGCAGTCGACACTGACTTCAAGCTATTATTTTATTGTTATATTTAAGGAGCTCAGTGTATTTATGTCTGTGGTTTTTGCTGGTGTTGAAATGAAAGATGTTGCTTGTAGTTTATCACTGTATCCAGAACTTTTATTATTCCAAACGCTAACTTAACTATTTATTAAGGAACGCAGTGAAATTTGCGATCAAAAATGGAAACAAAGGTGCTATTACGAAATAAAATATTTTAAGAATTGTGCAAATTACATAAATCTGCCGAGAAAAGTTTCACCAATCGTGTTTCTTCTTTAACAATCAGTTGATTAAACCCTTAAGTAATCGTTACCTTTTGCCGTTACTACTAAAAAAACCATATATTTTTATCAGAATGTCAACAGCTATACTTTCTCAGACTACAATCTGTCTGCCTGACAGTGAAACTGATTATATTAGATGTTGTGCCCGTGCTCTACGTTGAAAAGTTAATCTAACACTAAAGGCGACACCGCTATCCCTCTCTTGCATGATAGATTCAAATAGAGATTGAACAACTTACTCGCAATGTTGCAGTCTTAAGTCATCGAGTTGCGCGTAAGGCTCCCACCTGGCGAGGCCTATGGTGAGAGCCAGATGCAGTGCGTTGGAATTGAAACTAGCTACCAGTCTGCCTGTGCACGATGTTCCCATCGCCTTGATCCGGTAATCATCATAGCCGATCTGAAGAATGACCCCAAAATAAAGTTATAGTTCTACAATTCTAATATTTTGCACATATTTTTCGCTTTAAACAAAAAGGTAATTTAATTCACTCTATTTGTATTACTTCACTTCATACATACCATGCTTAGCTTACACTTCTGTGTGGAAAGACAAATTACAAATTCTTTACACATCGCAGTAGTATACAAGTTACAAGTTGCAGGAAGAAGAGACGCAAAGCAGCGCTGTTTCTGGGTAGATAGAGCCATCTTTATGATTTAAGTATATTTTATGTTACGGACAGCAGGCGCGAGTCAGACGGACTACATGTCGCAAGTAATTTCGCAAGCTTTGATTGGTCGGGAGCACCCGTGGCGCATTAACTAGGTCGGTACGATGTGGGAGACACCGTATCGTTACAATAGTAGGAATCCTACAGGAATCCAATTAGCCCGGTAAGACAATAAGGACAATAAGACAAGCAGTAGATAATTAAAAATGTAATTGTGAATAAGTTACAAAGTATAGAGTCCACTTACCATCGAGTTCAATAAAACCAGGCGAAAAGGACTTTTATTGAAAAATACCTTGTAGAGAACGCTGCAGTATACTTCATTCGTATCTCAAGTTTCAGTAACCACTTACCACCAGGTGGGCCGTTAATATATTTACTGTACTATAAAAAACAACATACTTGTAAATCCTTAATCTTGAGAGTAACATGGAAACTAGTCTTCATCGGGTCAGGTCTAGTCACGCTCACGTCGTTTATACGATTTATTGTGGCCAGGTTTTTCACCCACCCCGTGTCTGTTTCGAATTTGCCTATGAAAGATATTGAGCCTATCTGAAACAAAACAGTCGATTTGGCCGTTTAGGTCTGAGTGCTATATCTTTGTGGCACCTTCTCAATCAGATATAGCAAGTTTAATACCGTAATAACTTAAGATGTCTAAAATCTCATGTTCCTTAATACATTAAACCCATAATAATATGAAAAGGTACCTGGAACGTGATAATAATAATTTATTAGGCAAACCAAAATATTGCACTGGAAAGTATTATACAT